TTGTTGCCAGTATTTGACATTAATGTGTTGGAACCTTTGTTGCCAGTATTTGACATTAATGTGTTGGAACCTTTGTTGCCAGTATTTGACATTAATGTATGTTCATTCTCCAATTTTTCTGAATAACGTGGTTTTAGAGATCACACTACGTATATCCTTATTTTGAATTATATGAACTTCCTTGTCAATCCTTAGTTTAACAAAGGGTTAGATATTTTTCGTGCTATTCTGATACAACTATACTTGAATTTTAATATAAACTTTTTGTGAATCTTTATACTAGTTATTGTTTTGCTTACTGTGAGGTACATGAAAACGATATTTATACAGAACTGTGTAACATGAGTAGAAAGTTGATTATAACAGATTAACGTTATGTGATCAGGGAGTCATCACGTCAAAAGGTTTTACAAGAAGTTTCTTTATTAAAAAGAATTTTTCTGTCTTTACGCTTTCGGGTAGACGTGATAAAAACAAAAATACTATCGTGTTTGTATTTTTCATTTTATTTAGAAAATCATGTTTTGGTTAAATATAGATTTTTTGTATTTTTTGTTTTTTAAGTTCTCAACAAATTAACTCTTAAACAAAGATGTAAAACATGAAATGCATGTGAGAGATTTGGGACCAACTTGGGTGTGGGGATGTGTGTAAAAAAGTGACTTAATTATTGTGAATGTCGTGTAATACTAATTCCCACAGAAAAAATGTGGGGGGGGGGGCATATGTTTCCATTTGCCCCCTGTTATCCCGCCTGTGGTGTTATGTATGAATTTTATACGTCATTCCATTTTTGGCTTCTTTAAAATATTTGTATTTGTGCTATAATATATAAAAATTGGTAACACACACTAGTTTAAGTAACATGTATTTACATTTCTTGTTTCATTGTTTACACATAGATTATTATTTTTTCTACAAATACGCATTAGCCTCATCTCCCAACTGACCAGATGGACAATACGAAAAACTTCTGAGAAATACACCCTCTGTGCCTCAGCGGTAGCTTAAAGGCTTATAACATTAAACATGAGGGATCGATTCCTGAAGTTGGAACAGCATAGGTAGCCCAGTGTACAACTTGCACTTACTCTAATAAAACATTTATGATTCGTTTGTTGATCAGTTTCAAATTAAAAACTGTGTGTTGCATTAGGCTATGTATGTATGATTTTACAGGGGATGAGTGAGGTAAGGCTACAGATTAAGATACGATTGTTGACGTGTTTTAGCACACCTCAGGTTAAGTTCTATGTATGTATGATTTTACAGGGGATGAGTGAGGTAAGGCTACAGATTATGATACGATTGTTGACGTGTTTTAGCACACCTCAAGTTACGTAGAACGTTCGTTTTTTTTGTGTCTTGACTTTAGGAAAAACAAGATGAATGGATTTTTTTTTTCAGGTTCTGTTTTGTTTTTCAATAATAGTAAATTTATATGCATATTTAGTAAAACTACAAGATGTACTTACCCAGGATCCTGAAAGTATTCTGTTTCAAGAGTAAATAAAACCAAAATTAAGGGTGACAAATATTTTTATTTCTTGCTTTTAAAATTCATATGTCATGCTGTGTTGTAGCCTACAGAATACATAATTTTTCTCATGGTATACCCACGTTTTACTGACTTCCTGACGATACAAATTACAACGTTAAACGTCTCGTATGTGATGTCATTTTGGTGTCTTCTGACTGACTGACAGACAACACAATACTGCGATGCGAGTGGTTCAAACAGGTGACCCCTTCAGGCGGCTTTCGGCCCCTATAATGTTTTGAGACTTCAAGAAATAACTTGGAGAGGAAATTTGGACAAACCCTAGAAGTTGTACGCTTGTAAATAGTGTATATCCTAATGTTACTACAGAGGTATGTGAAGTTACTTGTTTACGTCGTTTACACGATCGGATGAAACCTTTAAACCACTGTGAATTAGACATTTACTCGTGCTGTTGTTGGACTATTTAGTCTGTTTTATAGACAACTTGTTAACGATAACTCTTGAGTGAGATTTTTTTGTATTAGGGTGGTTATTCTATTACACAATTATACAGATTTTTTGAAATGATTGTTACGTTAAATATGAGCGCGTAGAAAGAAAGAAAGAGTGAACTGCAGAATACTTATGATATATAATTTTAATGTTGGTAAAAAGTTCTTCGTGAAATGATAAACAGAGTGAGAAGTTGTTTGAATGCTGTGTAATTTTGATCCAAGTCTGTTGCCCGTTATTCTTCACATGTTGGTAAACTGCATGAAATTGAATAAAATAAATATTGACTGGAATATTTTTAAATTGTATATTTCAACCCAACGAACTCCAGAAGGTGTTATTTCACATACATAGTAAATTGATTACTCACTGACAAACAAAACATGCGAGTAAAACTGAACTGAACAATAGTGGTATGAAGGTTGAAAGAAGTGTGTTAGATTTCACATGTTTCCAGCAATAACCTTCATCAGGTGTGAAACAAAAACAAAACTTAATTATAGTCATTGTGAAAGAATAGAAAAACGGTGAATGTGTATTTGTCATTTATAAGTTGATGTGTTATTACAGGATTTGTGATCAAGTTTATTATACCGTTTGTGACTTCATATAATGGTTTTCCCCGTTCCACCCTGAAATACAGTCTTTCTACGAATGGCCTGTACAAAGGACGTTCCGAACGTTGGCGGATAATTCCAAAGGAGTGGTGGATAGTGCTTACTGGGGATGGAGGTAGGTCTACGTGTGGTAAGAGGACCCGACTGGAAATGGGGAAACCAAGATGACGGTGAAGGTCACGTAGGCACAGTAGTGGAAATCGGCAAACCAGGAAGTACGACTTCACCAGATAAAACTGTTGTTGTTCAGTGGGACTCTGGGTCAAAGACAAATTATCGAGTTGGATACCAAGGTGCTTTTGACTTAAGGGTCTTTGATAACGCTCCAACTGGTAAGTTATAACAAACTTCATCACAATAATAAAGTAAGGAATGGGGTATGTAAAGTATACTTTTAATTAACCATTCCTATTTAATATCACGTTATCGTGTTATTTTGCAGACTGACAAAGTTTACAATTTGTGTAGCAAAAATATTTGTATATTCATTTATGTGATATATGTTTACTAAGTTTTCCAGATGAATGGATTATTCATGTTGTATCTTCATTTGTAGTTTTTGAACGTCATGAACATTCATTGGTTAAGCCTACGTGTCTCTTATATTTACACTAATCATCAACGTTGATACCGGACAGTAGACGATCACTGTAAATATAAGATACATTAATTTTTATATGAAGAAGAAATCAAGTCTTCAACAGACGTTTCGCACGTTAGTTCCTATGTATGTTGAGTTTAGTGTACATTTAGTACTCAGGTATTTTATGGTGCACCAATAGAAGCTTTAAGGGCTGTACTTTTTCTTCTTTTTTACAAAAATAAAATTCCAAAAACGAATTTGTGCCTTGGCGCGACGGGCTCTTGAACTATGTATAAGATAAACTGGCATGGATATTTTATTGTATGGTTAAGCCTAGCATTTCGGGATATTTCAATTGCTAATTTTGTCACAGTACTCTTGAATAAGGGTCCCCCCCCCCTTTTATGAATAAGATTGTTAATAGAGATAGCAACAGAGATTGAATAAAAAAATGTGTGGGTTGAAAAAATCACCTAACCATAACGTTAGTGTAGTAATGTAACTGTAGTGAAACCTAAACAGATCGTTGTGGTCAGTATTGGAAAATTGGTCAGATAAACGTAAAACGTTTAAACTATTTATACTTAACTATAAAAGCTTTTTTCCACCAATCTAATTTGAAACCCTGCCTCAGAACAGTTTAACTTAAATAATCAAATGTTGTGGAAACAGTTATTGTTAAGGCTTTATATCGTTGTTAAACGGTTACTCTTCAGAGCCAGTTAGCAATATTGTAAAATAACATAAAGGTAAGAATTGCTGTAGGGAATATACGAAAAGAAAGTAAGAAACGAAACTTTGAACTTTACTATGATTAAATTCCCTAGGCTACTAAATAAAATATTTTGCCTACTGAAATTATTATAAAGAGCGAATTTGAAGTAATATTTTGCAGTCATTATTTGTAAATGATAGTAGTTTGAAAACGGTCACCCAAAAATGGCATATGGTTAATACGCGTGCAACTTTATTTTTGTGAATAGATTTACCAAAGTAATTTTTAGACCTCGTATAATTCCATCTAGAGAGTATATCTGTCAAAGTTAGAGGTATTAGATTTAATACAGTTGAATCTATGACAATAGTACTATCTGTCGAATAATACGCAGTTAAGTCACTAAACAAAAATTTATCCATTTGCTCAAGTGTTTGTTGTCGGGTGTATAATACAATGAACGATTTCGTTAAGAGCTTTCTTCATTTTTACGTTATGTGGTATTCTTTTAACTTAATATTAAATAATGCGCAATGATTGTTAAATTTTATATCTATATTTCGATACATTAGGACTCATTGTTGCTTGTCCTAATAATAGGGAAAACAATTGATGTTCAACTCTAGAACGATGAGACCGTGTGAAAGGTGAAACAAACAAAATTACAGTTCAAACGAACGGTAAAATTTGCTCGGCAAGAAATTATGAAAAAAAAATTCAAATTGATAAAACAAAAGTCTATAACAAAAACTTTAATATTATTAGCAAAGATTCGGGCAGAACCCCTTCGTCAGAAAGTTTAAACCGTGTTACACAGAAAAAAGGCTAAGACAGATTCGTAGAAAGGTTAAAATATGTATTGTTACGACAGCGGAAGTCACTTGATGCTGCTAGCGCATGCGTGACTGAATTTCTCGAATTCGTTGGTATTTAAGCCTGGCAGGGAAAGCCAATAATAAATGAATGAATGAAGAGAGTTCCGGGTAATTTACGATTCTCTTTCGAGCTAGTGTGTGAAGTTATGAGATCGTGAATCGCTGTGATTTATAGCGTATATTATAAAAGTAGTTAAGTTTAAAGTGACGAGAAACGTACTGACTGTGGAATTACTGTGTACTAAAGTTTGTACCGAGAAATAATAAACTGGTTTAATCAAGAAAGGACTTGTATCGCTGAAGTTCCTCGGAAAGAATTTTTACCAGAAATTAACAAACAAGTAGATATGTAACAAATTGATGTCAGAAGTGGGATAAAAAAAAAGAATGGAAATGAGAAGTGGCAAATCAAACTACAGCTTAGCAGTTTGATGGCAGCAATACAAGAACAGCAAAGAAACAAGAAGAGAGGCAATAGCAGTGGCAAGAAAACCTGCAACAGTGGCAGCTCGAACAGCAAAATAAACAAGAAGAGAGATTACAGCAGTTGTTGGAGGAAAAAGAAAAGAAACAAGTTAAGTCCAGCACAGAGGTACCAAGGTTGGTACAGTCATAAGGATTCAAGGCCAGAAAAGGGCAACTTTCAGAGAAGTTTGAGGGACTTTGCTGGCACTGTAACAAACCTGGGCACAAGAGAGCTCAATGCCGGCAACTTCAACACGGGAAAGATGCCACGGTAGGAAAGGCTGCTACCCAGAAATGTTGTTAGAACTGTGGAGAGCAAGGACATATTAGGAGCCAGTGTAAGAAGAATACTACCAATAAGTCAGCCTCAAGGAGTAAAATGGCAAGCACACATAGTGACCACGTGACGGGAAAGCTGAATGGCTAAAAGTGCAACTTTGTCATAGATTCTGTATCTCAGCTAACCCTTGTGAGTATCAAGGTGCTAGATCACAAAGGAGTACCATAAGCCATATAGAAGCTCTGTGATGTGACAGGACATTATGCAAGGTTGTGGGGACCAGTGCGGGTAACTATTGAGCTCATGGGCATAAAGGACAGACACAGAGTATACATGGCTGACATTGAAGACCCATGCATATTAGGGTTGGACTACTTTCTATTGAGGAAATGTGTAGTTAACTTCGATAAAATGACGTGTGGTAAAAATAAAGGCCAAATTCCGGTAAGTGTTAAAAGAGAGCTTGAACTAACCAGGTGCCATCAAGCTGAAAGCAAAGTGACTGAAGGAGTTGATGATGGTGAAGGGGAACCAAGTATAGATATTAAAGCAGAACAGGGGAAAGAAGCCAATAACTGATTTTCTACATGCAAGTGTTTTGCACCCTGCTTGGGAGAAGGTGTCTAGCTTAAGCCCTGTGACAAAGAACTAATGGGCACAGTGGGACCAGTTGAAGCTTGAACAGTTATACCAAGAAAGTTATGGGAAGTTGTGCTGCGTCAATCTCATGATAGTTTAACAGGAGGACTTCTTGGAGTTAAAAAGACATTGAGTCGCCTACAGCAGAGATTTTACTGGATAGGTATGAGACAAGATGTGGAAGAATGGTGCAGGACCTGCAGTACATATTGTGCTAAAAGGGGACCCAAGCATAAGGGACGTGCTCCAATGAAGTTATATCAAGTTGGTGCACCAATGGAAAGAGTAGCCATTGACATTGCTGGTCCTGTGCCCCAAACTCGTGCTGGAAACAAGTACATGCCTCTTCATTAGTATATAAGCCTGGCAGAGAAAGCTAGGAGAGATAAACGAAGAGAGAGCAGTAGTCTCCTTGAGTTCCGTGTAATTTATGATTCTGTTAGTTTTGA